GTCCAAGATGGGGTATCCGTGCTGAGGTAGATGATAGCACATCCATGCTCCACATATGTCTCCTCCCTCTCTGTTCTCTGTCAGTTTCTTATTCCATTCAGTGCTTGGCTGACTTCTTTATCTCTTCATTTGATGCTTAAGGTTTCAGGATTGATGTGTGACTCTGTTTGACTTAGTTTTTCTGATCTTTGCTGCAGAGGGATGGCGTGGTGCTTCTGACTATAGTGCCATGTTGCCGGGCAGTCCTTTGCCAATTTTTTTAAATTGAGTTGCTTGCTGTTTTGATGTCGAGTTGTAGGAGGTTTTATTATTATTATTATTCTGGATATTAAACCCTTAACAGATATACAAATAGAAAATATTTTCTCCCATTCTGTGGGTTGTCTTTTCATTTTTTTGATAGTATCCTTTGAAGCACAAATGTTTTTAATTTTCATGAGCTCTGATTCATTTTTTTTTTCTTTTGTTGCTCTTGGTTTTGGTGTCATTACTAGTAAACCATTACCCAGTCCAAGGTCATGAAAGTTTATACCTATATTTTCTTCTAAGGGTTTTGTGGTTTTAGCTCTTACATTTAGGTATTTGGTCCCTTTTGAGTTCAATTTTGTATATGGTTTGAAGTAAGGGACCAGCTTGATTCTTTTGCATGTGGATAGCTGATTGTCCCAGCACCATTTTCTTTTTCTTTTTTGACAAGACTATACTTTTTCCATTGAATTGTTTTGGCACCCTTGTCAAGAATCAATTGACCGTGACATAACAGCTTTAGTTTTAATGACTCTAAGTTGGAAACAACCCAGTGTTCATCAACATTAAAATGTACAGATACATTGTGGTATGTCTATGTAATGGGATACTACAAAACAATAGGAATGAACAAATATTGCTACACACAACATAATGGATACATCTCACAGACATTGTAGTGAGCAAATTAAGCCCAAAACAAAAGAGTGTATCTTGTATAATTCCAGTTTATATGAAGTTCTAGGACAGGTACGCCTAATACTATGGTAATAGAAGCCAGAATAGTAGTTACTTGGGGGAAGAGGGTGGTATTGACTTGGAAGGGGCATGAGGGAGCTTGCTGTGGTAATGGAAAGGTTTTGTATACTGATCTGGGTGGTGTTTACATAGCTGTATACATGCGTAAAAATTAATCAGGTCTACACTTAGCGTTTGTGGTCTTTACTGTGTATATGTTATACCTCAATAAAAAAAAAATAATCCCAGCTGGTGAACCACATGAGGTTTCTAGAGCACTTCCACATTATCTCATCTGTGGTCCAAACTAATTCGAAGAGTTACACAGGCCAGATATAAGTATCCCCATTTTATGGATGTAGAAATTGCCCAGACTTCAAGGGGGAGTTAATGTTCAGGGCAGAGCTGGACCTCCTGTCTTCGATCATAGACTTTTGTCCACTGCGCCTAGCTGGGCTATGTTCATTGTCTATTCATTTCCCTTGTCCAGGCTTTTCTTCCTGAGTTGTGGGGCAAATTGAAAGCAGGTTTTCAGGGTGCAGTAGACAAAAAGTACAGCTGAGTGGGTGGAAGGTTTTGTCCTGTTACAGGAGATTGCGACTTGGGACACCTAACACCTACGTTCTTCCCTCTCCCGTCCTCTAATATTGCAAAGAGAATACAGCCCCAGGTCAGAGTTGTGCTGAAAATGAATTGTTTTGAGCAACCAACACGAATCTGTTTAGCCTTATATTGTGGGGTGGGAGAGATTTCTCTGTGGAAAATCATCTTCTATTCAATAAAGTTCCTAATAATTTTGTCCTTGCTTATTTGTAAAGCTGTTTTTTTTTTTTTTTGCATTTCCATCCCAAAGGTGGTTGTCTCAGAAAAGTTTCCAAGTCTTTTCTCAACTGATTTCATCCTGTACTGCAATATCTTGATGGAAAATATGCAGTGAACACTGAGAACAAAGCTTCTTTAAGCCAAGACAGCTTAGGTATTGGCATTGTGCAGAATCCTGTCCCTAAGCCTCAGGTCACTGGTGGCAGTAGGTAGTGAGGAGGGGACTGCTGCAGTGGGGACTGATGACTTAGGCATGACTTTCATGCTCTGTCTGTCATGGGTCAATGGAGAAACTGAACTGTCTTTTCCCTTTCTTCCCCACAAGTCTTAAGAGTGAAAAGTGTGTGTTCCTCTAAGTGTAATCCTCACTCTTCCAAAGGTGAGAATGGAAAGCACCCTGTGAATCAGGGAGTAATGTTAAGAGAATACCAATTAGTAAGTGTCTCTTATGCACCAACCCCTGTACTAGGTTCTTTAACATGTATTATCTCATTTAATTCTCTAAATTACTGTGTATGGTAGGCATTATTAAAATCTCCATTTTGCAGATGAAGAAATTGATGTTGAGAAGAATGACATCATTTGTTTAAGGACACACAACTAGTAATCTGCAAAGCTAGAGTTCAAATCCAAATCTGTATGTTCGTTTTTAATGGCTCCAAAAAGGCCCTTGCTTTTCCCTTGATGTGGAGCTACTGTCATTGTTTGGAAATACATTATCTGAGACAGACGTAAACTAGGTGGCTAAACACATGCATAGTTAGCCATAGTTAAGGCAACATAGCATGCTAACAAGCTAACAAATAGCAAGCACTGTTGAGGTACCCACTCTGTGCCAGGTGCATGGATAGGCACTGGGCATGCAATCGTCACTACCCACGAGAATTTTATAGGCTTATCTCTATTGTTGACCTAGCCAGCAGTTTGGGTGATTCAGACACATCCTTTGTGACACTTTAGCACTAGCTATAGTTCTGTTACACCTCAGAGTAGCTCTAATTTTTTTCAAAACTTAATTATTCTTTCCTAGCTTCTCTTAAAATAAAAAGTCAGTCACATTTGTCATAGGACACTGCTGACCGCAGGCAGGAAAGAATTTTATGTAAGTTATGACTTTGTCATTGGTTAATGACATTTAACCATTTTTAGACAGTTTTACTCATATACTCCAGCTTCTTCAGAACAGCTCAGAATCTATATAATTTTGTTCTCTTTAATAAAGGTAATTTGTTAAACCTATAATGAAAGATAATTTGTATGCTCTGGATAATAGTTTGACCAAAAAAGAGAGAAAAAACTCTGTTTATTCCATTGGTCCTGATGTGGGGATTTGGCAATAAGCCTTGACATAGGTCTTAAAGCCAGGTTAGAGGGACATGTTAGGGTTCACCCTACATGACTTTTATTAGGTTGGGGGTTCTGAAAATCAAACAAAACAAGGTGTCTCAGACACCTAAAGGCCAGCAGCAGCTGCCATGGAGATTTCAGATGCCTATGTAAGAAACTTATCTCAAGGGCAGGGCAGCCACTTGGCTCCTGCCAAAGATTTTCTGTTTTTGTGCAAGAAAAGAATACAGGGGTATTGCCCAAACCAGTATTCTGGCCCTGTGTCCGTAGAACTGAATTCCCTTTTCATGAGGGCTATGAGGCCACTGAGGATTTTTTCCCTCAAGGGAAAAGGTGGGTATTTAGGGAAGCATGCCTACAGAAACTGACACCAGGGCCGGTTAATCAAAATAACACAAGAGGGGCATCTCCTTCTTGTGGAAAAATGGATTTTGCAGCCCAGTTTCCTCTGAATGATGAAATCAGACAGAATGGCACAGTGGACAGTGGGAAAAGGTGCACTTAAGCAAGAATTCCAGCTAGGATGACTTACTCCATTGTCATTGGTGACTTTTGTGGGGAGGAGTGAGATGGCCTTCCAAAATACACATGGACACTCTCCTCTCTTTTAACTGGGCATACACACTTAGAATTTTCAGCACTTTGAAAAGCCACCTGAATTTCACCCTGGCATGAGGTTAAGAGTGAACAAAACAATCTCACTTCACTTTTCTCTTTGAGCAGTGCACACCCCATATATCTATTACGTGAGGCTCTCTTAATAGAAGACTGCTTATCTGCATACTTAACTCTATCTTACTTTGCATAGCTCTTCAAAACCTTCAGAGTGGTTTGATGCACCTTAGCTCACTTAATCATCCCAGAAGCTGTGTAAGGTAGGTGAGGAATATGCTCTCCCTTTTTTTCAGATTAAATAACTGAGGCCAGAAAAGGTGCAGTGATTCATCAGGGAATGTGGTTTGAAAGGAGAAGCAGTAGGGTGACCAATCACGCTAGTTTGCCCAGGACTGTCCCACGTCTAGCACTAAAAGTCCAATGTCCTGGGAAACCTCTCAGTTCTGGGCAAAGTGGAATAATTGGTTACCCTATAGCCAGAATTAGAACCCATATTTCCTAACTCCCAGTCCTATACTAGTGCTACTGTCTTATGCCTTCTGTCTTCAAAGAACTGTTACCTGAGTAGAGAGGTTCCTTTTCTCAACACCTTAGTCCACCAGGATATTTCTGTATTCTGGGTATCCTCCCCTCCCACCCTGCCTAGGACTTAAGCATTAACACCTAGTAGTTCTAAGAGGTACTGGAGATAGTGTTAGCAAAGGATAACCAAACTTCAGTTTTCTTATCCAAAAAATAATGATGGTAATCCCTACATTGCTTACATGGCAGGGCTGTTGTGTGGATCAAATAATCATGGTGGTTTGTCAACTGTTAAGAGTTGGTCACTTGTGAGGGATTGTAGTTATTCTCTACCCCCGGGAATAAGCCAGATCCTTTTCTTATAATTCTCTTTACCAGTTCAGTTGCTAGTGCAACCACTTACTAACTGTCTGAACTTGGGCAAGTTCCTTGGTCTCTGCTCCTCAGTTAACACATCTTTAAAAGGGGCTAATAATAGTTACTGCTATGTTTTGAGGATTGAATGAGCATTTAGAAGAGTTTCTCTCACATGGTGAGGTCTATAAAAATGTTAGCTGTTTCGGGTTGACTTTCTCAGTATCTTTAACTCAGAGGCAGAGACTAGATTAAGAGGGCAAAGAAGCTAAATGACATGTAACCCAATACTTACTTTGCAATCCCTTCCAAGGAGTTCCTTAGTTCTTATGTTCTGAAGCTGCAGCCTTCCCATTATGGATTGCCAGGGAAATCAGTTCTGGGACCGCTGGGGACTGTGTGACACCTGCCAACAGTGTGGGCCTGGACAGGAGCTCTCAAAGGTAAGTCCTCTTAGGATATTTATCTCTGTCACATTTTAGGAGCAGTAGTGGCAACTGAGAAGGGACCAAGATCAAAAGAGTTAGCCCTACCTGTAGCTGATCCAGTTCAGCAGGCAAAACATGATATCTAAAGAGTATGGCAATAACAGTCACAATTTCAGCAAGAAGTCAACCTAGCGGATCAGGGGAGTTTTCCACAAAATAATGGGGTGTCTCAAGAGGAGTTGCAGAATGCAGATGCCCAGGAAGACTGTTCAGCATTAGGGAAATCTATCAGATAAAGCACGACCCACTTAATTGTGGTTTAAGGGCCAGATACCAGGTCTTGGGAATGGGAAAGAGAAGAACTGAGAAAGCTGATGTGTGACCTCTATCCTAGAAGGACTGGGATACTGAGAAAGCTTCATTAGGGAGGACTCAGGAGAGGGAATCCAGGGAAGGTTGTGAATTTGAATCTCAACTAGACGTAAGGGACAGAACAAAATGAGCAGCAAGGTAAGGACTTTATGATGAGTCCTGATATGCAGGGCTGGAGCTGCTTAATTGTCCCTGTTTGTCCCGGAGCCTGAAGGGCAGTGTTAAATTTGGGCAGCACCTGGGACTTCAGAGGCTGGAACCAGACAGAGGCTGCAGTTTGTGCTCCCTCACACCATACTTTATGCAATCATTCATTCATTCAGCAAAGTAGGAGGCATGGTTGTAGGCACTGTGGGTATGACAAGACAGACAAATCTCTGTTATTATGGACCTTACTTTTTAATGACACAAATACTATAGAAAATACATACAGAAATGCAGTATCCGTGCCTCACACCATACACAAAACAAATCCAAAATTGATTAAGAACCTAAATGTGAAAAACAAAACAATAAAATTCTTAGAAGAAAATGCAGGGGCAATGCTGTTGGACCTAGCTTTTAACAATGGATTATCTATTATAATAAAAAAAAAGCATAAACAACAAAAGACAAAATAAATAAATGGGACCTCTTAAAAACTGAAAACTTCTGTTCATCTAAAAGCTTTACCGAAAATTTGAAAAGACAAGCTACCTATGGTTTCTTCAGAAACCATATATCTGATTAGAACATAATAACCAAAATATACATAAAACTTTAACAACTGAACAACAAAAAGACAAATAACCCAATCATAAAATGGGCAAAGGACTTGAATAGACATTTCACCAAAAAGGACATTCAAATGGCCACCAAACATACGAAAAAATGCTCAATGTCATTAGCCATCAGAGAGATGCAAATCAAAACCACAATGGGATACCATTTCACTTCCACCATGATGGCTGACTTTAAAAAAAAATAATAATAACAAACATTGGCGAAGATGTGGGGAAATTGGAATCCTTACTCATTGCTGGTGGGAATGCAAAATGGTACAGCCGTTGTGGAAAACAGTGTGATGGTTCCTCAAAAAATTAAAAATAGAACTACCATATGACCCAGCAATTCCACTCTTAGGTATATACCCAAAAGATTTTAAAGCAGACTCCAACAGTGACTTGTGCACCAATTTTCACTACAGTATTATTCGCAATAGCCAAAAGGTGGAAATAACCTAAATGCCCATCAACAGATGAATAGGTAAACAAAATGTGGTACAAACGTACAATGGAATACTACCCAGCCAGTGGAAGAAATGAAGTCTTGATACATGCGACAACATAGATGGAGCTGGAAGATATTATCCTGAGTGAAATAAGTCAGTCATAAAACGACAAATATTGTATGACCTCACTTATATAAAACGAAGAGAAAAGGCAAATGTATAGAGACCAAAGTTTATTAGTGGTTACCAGGGGTGGGAGGATGGGGGAAAGGAAGGGTTACCAGTGATGGAAACATCACTTTGATTAAGGGTAGGGTTGCACAGCAGATTATGGTAATTGTGACCAATAAGTTGTACACCTGTAAAAAGTTGAACTGGCCAAAGTTGTGTGATAGATATATTTGCAACAAGCACAAAAAAAAAAAAAAAAGAGTACTGCTTATGTACAAACAAAAACCTCATGGTATTTGGTTCTTTTGTTTGGAGGTTTAGGGACATGGTTTCATGGGACATCCCAGATAATTTGCTTAACAACGTGTTTGGTACTTCTGCTCTACCTTCTAGTTCCTTGCATAGTTCCTGGGGTCTTAAAAGCTTGCAAGCAGCCATACAAGGCATGACAATTGGTCTCTATTCACCTGGAGCAACAGAGGAAGAAGAGTCAGCAATAGGAGAAGGATATGGAATGTGTGGCTAATAGTCTCCATGAACAACTGCTTCTTTTTTTTTTTTATTGTGTTTTAGGTGAAAGTTTACCTAACAAATTAGTTTCTCATTCAAAAATTTATACATAAATTGTTTCTTGGTGTTGGTTGCAATCCCACATTATATCAGCACTCTCCCCCTTTCCCTTTCCACCCCAAGTTCCCTGGTTCTATTCATCCAGTTTTCCTGTCCATTCCTGCCCTCTCATCTTTGTTTTTTCTGGCAGGTGTCGCCCAATTGATCTCTTACACTTGATTGATATAAGAAGCACATTCCTCACATGTGCTATTATTTATTTTATAGGCCTGTCTAATCTTTGGCTGAAAAGTGGACTTTGGGAGTGGTTTCATTTCTGAGTTAGCAGGGCATCTGGGGCCAATAGTCTCAGGGGTTCCTCTAGTCTCTGTCAGTAAGTCTGGTCTTTTTTGTGAATTTGATCATTTGTTCTACATTTTTCTCTCACTCTGTCCAGGACCCTCTGTTGTAATCTGAGTTAGAGCGTTAGGTGGTGGTAGCTGGTCACCATCTAGTTCTTCTGGTCTCGGGGTCATGTAGGCTGTGGTTCATGTGGTCCATTAGTCCTTTGGAGTAATTGCTCCCATGAGTCTTTAGTTTTTTTCCCTCTCCTTTGCTCCAGACTAGAAGAGACTAATAGTTTTATCTTAAATGGCTGCCTGCAAGCTTTTAAGACCCCAGACACTACTCCCAAAGTAGGATCTAGAACACTGTCTTTGAGAAGTAATACTATATGAGACCAGTATTGGACCACAACTACCACAGTCTCCAACAGACTGAGTCCAATTAGTCCAGTAATTTGACCTCATAGAGAGTCCCAGACAGAGCAGGAGAAAAATGTAGAACAAAATTCTAACTCACAAAAAAAGACCTGACTTACTGGTCTGACAGAGACTGAAGAAACCTTGAGAATACAGCCCCTGGACATCCTTTTAACTCAGTACTAAAGTCACTCCTGAGGTTCACCCTTCAGCCAATGATTAGACAGGCCTATAAAACAAAACAAGACTAAATGGGTACACCAGCTCAAGGGCAAGGACCTGACTTTAAACTACGCAGTATCCCCTTGTTCTGTCTGAACTGCCTCTTGATTTATGAACAGTTTCCTCATGAGCACAATTAAGTGTTCTGGAATTCTAATTCTTTGCAATGTTATCCATAACTTGTTATAATCCACACAGTTAAATGCCTTTGCATAGTCAATAAAACACAGGTAAACATCTTTCTGGTATTCTCTGCTTTCAGCCAGGATCCATTTGACATCAGCAATGATATCCCTGGTTCCATGTACTCTTCTGAATCCAGCCTGAATTTCTGGCAGTTCCCTGTTGATATACTGCTGCAGCTGCTTTTTAATGAACTTCAGCAAAATTTTACTTGCATGTGATATTAATGCTATTGTCTGATAATTTCTGCATTCAGTTGAATCACTTTCTTGGGAATAGGCATAAATATGGATCTCTTTCAGTTGGTTGACCAGGTAGCTGTCTTCTAAATTTCTTAGCATAGACGAGTGAGCACTTCCAGCTCTGCATCCGTTTGTTGAAACATCTCAATTGATGTTCCGTCAATTCCCGGGGCCTTGTTTTTCACCAGTACCTTCAGTGCAGCTTGGGCTTCTTCCTTCAGTACTGTCGGTTCCTGATCTTATGCTACCTCTTGAAATGGTTGAATGTAGACCAATTATTTTTGGTTTAATGTGCATTCCTTCCATCTTCTTTTGATGCTTCTATATCGTTTAATATTTTCCCCATAGAATCCTTCACTATTGCAAACTCAAGGCTTGAATTTTCTCTTCAGTTCTTTCAGCTTGAGGAATTCTGAGCATGTTCTTCCCTTTTGGTTTTCTATCTCCAGCTCTTTGCACATGTCATTATAATACCTTACTTTGTCTTCTCGAGCTGCCCTTTGAAATCGTCTGTTCAGTTCTTTTACTCTACGATTTCTTCCTCTTGCTTTAGCTACCCGATGTTCAGGAGCAAGTTTCAGAGTCTCTTCTGACCTCCATTTTAGTCTTTTCTTTCTTTTTAATAAACTCTTGCTTTCTTCATGTATGATGTCCTTGATGTCTTTCCACAACTCGTCTGGTGTTCAGTCATTAGTGTTCAACACGTCAAATCTATTCTTGAGACGGTCTCTAAATTCAGGTAAAATATACTCAAGGTTGTACTTTGGCTCTCATGGACTTGTTCTAATTTTCTTCAGTTTCAATTTGAACTTGCATATGAGCAGTTGACGGTCTGTTCGGAAGTCAGCCCCTGACCTTGTTCTCACTGATGATATTGAGCTTTTCCACCATCTCTTTCCACAGATGTAGTCAATTTGATTCCTGTGTATTCCATCTGGTGAGGTCCATGTGTATAGTCCCCATTTATGTTGTTGAAAAAAGATATTTGAAATGAAGAAGTCGTTGGTCTTGCAAAATTCTATCATGCAATCTCCGGCATCATTTCTATCACCAAAGCCATATTTTCCAACTACCGATCCTTCTTCTTTGTTTCCAACCTTTCCATTCCATTCACCATTAATTATTTGTGCATCCTGATTGCATGTTTGATAAATTTAAGCCAGCAGAAACTGGTAAGAATCGTCCATCTCTTTAACTTTTGCCTTAGTGGTTAGTGTGTAATTTTGAGTAATAGTCTCATTAGCTGGTCTTCCTTATAGGGATATGGATATTATCCTATCACTGACAGTGTTGTACTACAGGTTG